GACCCAACTATTTGGCCTTTGGGATCCATGATACAGATACCCCTATTTCCTTTTAATTGACTTTTAAAATTATTAAGCTAGCTTTCAAGGGTTTCCATGACTTGCAACCAAGGAACCTCAATAGACAGGAAAATAGGGCCGTGGTGCTCTATAGCAGTGGTCCCCAACCTTTTTTGGTACCAGGGACCAGTTTCATGGAAGACAGTTTTTCCAGGAGAGGGGGTTGGGGTGGCCGCAGAGCTCTGCAGCCTGGTCCCTAACAGACCAGCGACCGGCACCAGTCCGTGGCCCAGGGGTTGGGGATCTTAGTGGTGCAGGATATCATTTTGCAAGGTATATTCTGTAAATGTTTTCTTTTGAAGTTGACTGGAATGTAGTGTCAGGTAAGCAGTGTTACATAAACACTGGGTTCGAACGAATCAGAGTAAATCCAACTAGAAAAAACGTCAGAAAGACATATATGGACTCGAGAACAAGTGTTTATTACTGTTTCATGGGGCCAAAGGGGCAACACAAAGCATTGAAAACATCACCGGCTCACAAAAACAGTCACCTTGTTACATTCTTGGTTGCATTTGTTTATTTCACAAGGCTTCATTCACGCATGAAAACAAGATACTAATCCAGTTCAAATTCATAACGATTATAAAAGTAAACATTTGTTGGGACAATGTACAATAAATTGCACTTTTTTAACAAGCATTACATTTACATTTATAGAGTATACTATACATAATACATGGAGCTGTGGAAACATCTAATTGGTCAGTGTTATAGAGGAAGAGGTTGATCACTAATTTTTTTTTTTTTTTTTGCAGTCAATTAGCACTGTTTGGACTAATCAACTCCTTTATTCTAGAACCTCTTTTCATGAGAGATGTCATGAGCAAAATCATAGAATTCATAAAAATAGTATAGAATTTCTACTACCTCCTCGGCAAGGGACAGGTAGGAGTTGGAAAGAAAGGAAATGGGGCTGAGAAACTTTTTCCCTCATGTGAACTAAGGATCCATGCATTATGCAAAGTACCAAAAATAGAGAAACTGATGCAAAAGGCTATTGGGACATCTTGGATTCTGGGACCATCTCCAGCTTTATTCTTGTGCTTTCGTGACACCAGCATCTTTTGATGCATTTATATTCTCACAATTCAGTTTTTCTATTTTATTCCATATATAATAGCTATTAGAAGTTACAGTATAATGGAAAAGGTTTTATATGTTAACTAATTGCCAATGAAAAAGGAAAGTAACTTAAAAATGTTCTTTTTCTACTCAATGATTCTTTTTTCTTAGATTAGCTTTTCAGAGTATTGCTAATGATAAACCAGAGATGGGGGTAGGGAGAATGGGATACATTGAGGAAGATGTTTTTATAGCAGGTAGCAAATTCATTTGGAGATAAGCCTGACGTGTAGTCTTTTAGATGGAAACTGAGAGAGGAACGTCAGACAGCTGACTGTAGTCACTAAAGCTCGTAAACATCCACTTTTCTCATTATGACTCAAGATCAGCATCTCCTATGGAGGTGCAGCCCACAGTGACGTTCTCATTTGGGTACATTTTGAAAGATAAGGAAGTCGCGAGGGTAAAGGGTCTTGCCTGTATTATATAGAAGCCACTATGGGAGAGGAAGAATGTTTTGGGACAATTCTACCTCAACGTGACCATCACCATGTTGTCCAGAAAGAATTTTATTACATATCTGGTAGTAGGAAACAGACCACAGAGCTGTCGTCTGGCCTTCCAGCTTTGATCACCATGTCTTGAAATCTCAATGTATATTTGGTTACATGGTACCTAAGTAAACAAAAGAGGCAGGGATACTCTATATAAAATTCCACCAAACACACACACATCCCAACAGTGTTCAAATCATACAACCGAATTTGTTCATTCTCTCATTTGCTTGTAATTAAAGCAAGACACTCAGAGCTATTTTAAGAGTATTGTTAAGGGTAAGTTATACAATAGAATCATCTTGCTAAGAAATTTAAGTGTTCTTTCAGCCTGGCACAGTAGCTCATGCCTGTAATCCTAGCCCTCTGGGAGGCCAAGATGGGAGGATTGCTTGAGTTCAGGAGTTCAAGACCAGCCTGAGCAAGAGCGAGACTCCCGTCTCTACTAAAAATAGAAAAAATTAGCCTGTAGTCCCAGCTACTCGGGAGGCTGAGGCAGGAGGATCACTTGAGCCCAGGAGTTTGAGGTTGCAGTGAGCTATGACAACGCCACTGCACTCTAGCCCAAGTGACAGAGTGAGACTCTGCCTCAAAAAAAAAAAAGTTATTTCTCAGAAGATAAAACAAACAAGGTATTTAATTTTTTTTTTTTTTGGAGACAGAGTCTCGCTTTGTTGCCCAGGCTAGAGTGAGTGCCGTGGCATCAGCCTAGCTCAGAGCGACCTCAAACTCCTGGGCTCAAGGGATCCTCCTGCCTCAGCCTCCTGAGTAGCTGGGACTACAGGAGCGAGCTACCACACCTGGCTTTTTTTTTTTGTTTCTATTTTTAGTTGACTGGCTAATTTTTTTTCTATTTTTAGTAGAGATGGGGTCTCGCTTTTGCTCAGGCTGGTCTCAAACTCCTGACCTCAAGCAATCCTGCCACTACGGCCTCCCAGAGTGCTAGGATTATAGGTGAGCCACCGCGCCTGGCCAAGGTATTTAATTTTTAAAAAGTTCTTTTTTTTTCCCCCTTAAAGGGCCGTTAAAATCAGACAACTACCTTAGTGTCTGATGCACAGGGTTGGTGGAATAGTTAGTAGGACACTGATTCCAGCTGAAGGAAAAGAAAGCTCAATCCCCTACATTCGTTACATGGAATTCTCATCCTAGGTGACTAACTCCTTTAAAGGTCTGTTTATTTCCTCTGCCCAAATCTCTGCATTCTCTTGGTTTTCTCACTTCAGCTAGGAAATGAAGACACTAGTTATTAACTGAAAAATATTTCAAGAAAATAGAGTAGGGGTTGGAGAAAAATACATATTAATATACAGCAGGAAAAGAGTGGAAAAAAATTTTAAAAATTAAACAAGATAAATACTATTAAATATCCTAACATCAGTGCAAAGGTTGTTTTTCTACTTTACCAGGGAAATTTAAGAAAGCCAATGAAGAAGAAATTACTAATTCAATGGCTGGGAGGGGAAGAGAGACATATTGGTTGTATGGAAAGATATGGCATTCCTATTAGTGTTTCTGATGGGCACTCATAAACAGAACATTAGGTAACAGAATTTCTTTTCATTAAATTATAGCAACTAAATATAACCGAATTGTGACATGGCGCAGGATGTGGGAAGCTAGCAAGCATATGCACCGCGAAATTCAGCTTGGTTTCTCTCAGCTTTAAAGAATGTGTTAAACAAGATTCTCAAGATATAAAAGCTAATGAACTGAATTGTCAAGCTGAATTTCATTCACTTAATTTATTCTATAGAATTTAATGAAAAGATAAATGATCACTTTTCAGATATTGCAAATATTGGATTTTTAGAGATATATTTTATACAGACTACATTCTAGGAACAGATGAAAACCAGTAGAATGTTTGAAAATTTCCTGGATATTTGGCTGGTTGATCTCTAAATGAAATTCAAGAGAAGAGTTGCAATTCTCAAATATATCTTAAAATAAGTGAATTTAAAACTAGTAGGGATGCACGCATTTTCAAACAATAGACGGTAAATGACGCATCGGAATATTGCTATTATAACATATTGTATGAACAATCATATCACATATTAAATTTGGAATTTTCTTTCTTTTCAATCTTTCACTATTGATACTGACTCAAAGGCATTGTAGTGAGGGACAGTTTAGATTTATGGTACCAAAAGACATACTCAAGTATGATATGAGACCGGAGGAGAAAAAAAAAATCTATGTTTTACCCTCATAATCTTTTGAAAGATGAAAAGAAAACCCAAAGATAGATTTATCAGACTTCTGGAATGTATGCACCTGGTGATTTTGTTCAAAGAAGAAAAGGAAAGGGACTATGGAACTGAACCAGGTCTACAGATACGAAATTGACTAGAGGTGGGCATTCTACTTCTCCCTCACCTACAATTCAAGGAGAATTATACACTTTAGCATTCTGTGAAATGTACTTATTTTTGGAAGTTAAAACAAGCTCTGTACAGAACTATGAAATTCACAAAAGAGCATCTTTAATCTAGCTTGGCCATTTGATAAGGCAACTTGTACAGAGCTTCTTAGCATCAAAGCATCAAGTACCGGTAAAGCTAACAGACTAGACTAAATGATTTACAGAAACAAGTGCCAAGATAAAATTTTCTAGCCATTCTATTTTACAAAAAAAAAAAAAAAATTAGCTTATCTAAACCACCATGTAGAGAATGTTAAAGTCAACAAAGACACTTGGAATGCTGGGTTATTTTTCCTTTTTGTAAAAAGAAAATAAATGTTTTGATGAAAGCTGTCAAAACCAAAGAAAAAGATTTCTGTCAGAAAAGTATTATTTCATGAGTGTAACAGATAACAACCACGTAAGTTTTACGGGTTGTAGATATCTAAACACACAGAGATGAAGGGGATTTCACTTTTTAGAACTTAAAGTTTATTTTAGAGGAAAGTGAGCAACTCGGTGCACCGTCCTGGGGGTGTGGAGGCTCTTACTGGATTCTTACTTCTAAGAGCGTTACTTTTAATTGCAATGTATGGCACAGATGAGATTCACTCTGGCACCACAGAGTTTAAGATCCTTTGCAAACAACATGTTCCACAATGAAGCCAAGGATGAGTATCAATAAACGTTACTGTACATACCTGACCATAGTTTGGTTGGTGTGAAATGATCAGAGGCCTCCAAAATAGCTTAGGAAATAGGAAAATTAGTTTTGCTCTTACCAAAGAATTTCCTCCTAGAACTATTGATCTAAGCATGTTAAATGTAAATGAAAAAAATTTCCACCAATTTTTAAACAATAGCTTTTTACCTTTCTGTGAGACAAATATTTCTATAAAGGTTTTATATTTAATCAAAATGTTACAAATGCATTTGTATCTCTTTATCTACAGGTGCCAATGCCACATTTTTAGGGAGCTACAGAAATCAAGAAAAGTTGCCCAACGTTAAACTAAGATGACGTGCAGCTGACCTCTATTTCCCATTTCAGCAGTATGGCCTTTAACAAAGCTACAGTGTATTAGTGTTTCCTTAGCAAGTACACGTCAACAGTAAAGGAAATACTCTGTCGCTGGCTCTGTATTCCACGCCAAGCACAGCGGCTGACACTGGACCTCTCTAGGCTTCTCTGGTGAAGGTTCCCTCAGTCTGCAAGTTGCAGTATCCACCTCTAACTTTACACTTGCCAGAAGTCGCCTCTGTGCTCATGTTGAGGCATACTTAGGAACATGCAAGTCCCATGGGGAGTTCTTAAAAGATCTGTTAGAATATCAGAGCCCAAATGATTTTATCCTGCATTTATCCAAACCTCAGTTCCACTTACTTAGTGTGTATTCTTAATAGCCCATCTGCTGCACAGTTCTTGGTACTTCCTTCCCAGATGTACCCAACAGAAAATGAAAATAACCAGCTATCTTTAGGTACTGTTCAATCCCTGGTCTGTTCTTCTGACGGGATCACAGCTACCTTGGGAAGCACCGTCAGGTGGAAACCTGACGGTGGTCATACTGGCCCCGCAGTGTGCTTTATCTAAATAAATCCTGAAAAATTAAGAGGTTTAGGTTTCAATTTTTTTTTTTTTCTGTGACAAAGATCTTCCCATCACTTCAATCTTGGAATGATAGATGTCTCCATTTCTATGTAAGATAAAAATAATTATGAATAATTAGTTCAAAATAAAAAGCATTTAGTTTTGAATTACTTATTTCCAACTAAACATCAGGCATTTAAAATAACGTGTAATACTATCATGGAACTGAACACGGCCTCCCATGAAGAAGCTGGAAAATAGGTATTCGACATACACTGGCCAGTTTCCACAACATCCCTCCGAACAGTGTCACACGAGAGTGAGTGAGAGCTACTAAAGATTCTGGCTTGCTTTCTGGCCTCCTTGACTTTCCTTCACAGGGACACCAGGAAGAATCCTCCTAGGTTGCCGTTGCTTTCATCATTGTGCTCTTGGTGCCTGGGTGAGGCTGGAACTATGTGCTCTCCTTGGGTGGCTGGGTGGCCTGTGGCGGCTGCAGGGGCTGCGTGCCTGTGGCTGTTTTAATAGAGTTCAGGGTTTTGCTAAACCAAGAGTTTTTTGCAGCTTGGATTTCATTCATAAGGGCTCCTCTCTGATGTTCAAGTTCCTGATTAAAGAAAGAAAATCATCTGAGTTATATAAATGTTTTCTCTCTGCCAAAAAAAATTAGAGGACAGATTTTTGGGATCCCCAGGTCTATGTACCCAGTTTTCCTCCCACAAAACCCAGGAAAGATTTAATGGACTTCTTAATGCACGGAAAAAGTTTAGAGCTAAAAGAGTTACCACTAAAAACCGGAATCTGTGCTTTCTCTGAACAGTGAAATGAAACTTCATTTTATTCTCCCCCCCCCCCCCTGCAATTTAAGTCCAAATTTAGGTTTAGGTTGCGACCCGAGATAACACGTTCAAAACCACAAATACATGTAAGCAAATGGAGGGAGTGACTGTTTACTGATAACGTAAGCAAGAGTGAGTTCCAGTTCCAAAGACAAGGACTTTGCCCCTGAGAAGCACAAGGCCGGAGCAGACACGTGGTTGAGGGTGGCTGGTGTGATGCAGGTGGGGGTCGTGGGGGAGGACCGCTGGTGAAAACGTGATGGAGAGGAGTCCGTCACAAGCCAAGGCTGTTTCTCTAATTGTGTCATCCTCCAATATGGAGAGAGACAATGGGGAAAGGGATTTGGCCAAATCGGCAAAAGATAAAAAGCAGCTCCAAAGAAAAGAGTGGGTGTCGGCCACTGCTCAACTGTCAGGGTGGGGACGGCGGAGAGGGGTTGGCTTTTCATTGTCAGGGTCAGCACCGAAGTGCACAAATTCAGCGCGAAGAGACCCTCGTGGAAAACCTCGGGGTAAATGAAAAAAGAATATGCCTAAGTTTTCACAAGATATAATTTTAATTATTAAAATTTCATTTAAAATTATGTATTTGTTTATACCAGTGTTAAAAATACATGATAGAAAAAGTGATTGTGCAGGGCACACTAGTGGATAGAAAATGCATTCATCGTACATCTTATGATTCTGAGCTGGAGAGGCATGTTCTAAACCGCTAGAGCATCCTGGACCGCTGTTTATGTTTCCTGATGTTCTTTTATCACATCACCAACCTGGATTTTACACTTGGCTTCCACCAGCTGCAGCTTGGTCTGTGCCAGTTCCAGCTCCATCTCCCTCAGCTGCTTCTTCAGCGAGTCCTTCTCGTCGTCCGTTTCAATTCCCTGGTCCTCTCTGCTTATGGCTGCCAGCTTCACAGCGCCCTCCTTGCTGAAAATGTCACTGCAGTGCTTGCATGCCATCATTTTACCCTGAAATGTCCAAAAGAGATAACCAACATCAAACTGTGTTTCACAGGCTAAATCCTTCCTGAAACGACATACGCTTTCAAGACACTGCTTGTTGTCATGGAATAATTATTTTTCTTGTGCCATAACCAAAATGGTTACGGTCAGCCCAAAACCCAACTAGCTAAGGCAGGTGCTCCTTTCTCCTTAAGGTATCTATAGACACGCCCCAGGAGCAGGAAGTATCACAGCATCGCCCTGAAACGTGCTCGGGAAATCCCGCGCTGCCGTCACGCTCACTACACGCCGAGCCCACGCCGCACGCTGTGCTCGTCCTTCCTTTGAGCCCAGAGCAAGTGCGTGAGCGAGCGCTGTCACCGTCCCCAGTTCATGCGTGAGGAAACGCCGAGATTAAGGGGCCCGCCTCGGGCAGCCGGAGGAGGGCCGTCGGAACCAGCCTAAACCCACCCTTGCGACGAAGTCCAGGTCCTGCTGTTCGGTTTTAAGCAATGATGGTCGTTATTGATTAAGCAATAAAGTGACTCCACCGCCTGCTGGGATTGCCAGTCGAGCACACAGCACTGAATAGCAACTCTTCCAAGACGATGGTGGTGTTTTCTTAAAATATCTTCAGAAGCAATTTACTGGAGATGGAAGACATTCCACACAACTTCTGTTCTGCGGCCCTACTGTGGCAAGCTCGGCGAGCCCATAACCATGACCGCGCTGCCCTTCGCACGCCCAGCAACTCCCCGCCGCGCCGTGTGCCACCCGTCCCCGCCATCCGGGTCCGAAGGCTCTGGTGTCACCTCCTCACTGCTGCTCCTTCGTCCCACGTCCAGCTGATGGTCACCGTCTTCCTCTGACGCGCCCACACTCTTCCCGCGTCGGCCCGAGTCCCCAAGAGTCACCTTCTCGGTCCACACCAGCTTCCTTCTGATCCCATCCGCAATCCCCTCGTCGTATTTCTGGATTCACGTTCATCAGATACTTCAAAGATATCTTGTCACTCTCTTACTTAAGAACCTATGTGAATAATTAGCCCAGCATAGGCACACTGTAAATATTTGTTCAACATTTATTGTTGACTAAATATTAAAGAAGTAGCTTAAATAATCAAAAGTTTACCAAGCTGGGTGAGCAATTTTATTGGGTTGAACCATGTGAAGGGTAGATTGATCTTACAGGAGGGTGACATTTCAGCAGAGAGAACAACATGACACCGCCTTCAGATGTCAAGGAATTTAAGATGGCTCTGGCAGAAAGCAAGTGACGGACAGCGAGAGGTAAGCAGAGCGGCGAGAGCTCTCTGTGGCCGGGTCATCGAAGTCCTTAAATACCAGGCCACTAAATCCCGATTTTATCCCACAGAAAGTTCATTCTTTCCCTCCAAGCCTTGCGCTGCGCATCGAGGACAGAACGGTGAGCTGCGTGCAGCTGCGGACACTGCTGCCGCCCGCCCCGCCCATCCCTCCTTCCTTAGTCGCAGAACCCGGATTTTCTTTGAGCTGGCAATGTGTCTAGAAAAAGGGACATTTCCCAGATTCCCTCGAAGCTAGGGACAGTCATGGAGTTACGTTCCTGTACGTAAGCAGAAATGTGGCGTGGAACTGCTAAGAAGGCTGCTTGGGAAGAGCCCACCCAGCTGGAATGAGGCCCTTCTATCTTCGCATCTCCTTAGGGCCTAGAATCCTGCCACGGGGTGCGGCGTGTGGCAGTGGAAACTCCCATTGACAGGTTTGGTTTTCAGGTGACCTTTGAGGATGGAAGTCTATGCTGAGGATGCGGGTCCCTGATGACACCAAGGATCTACCTGTCTAGTCCTAGACTGTTTTTACGTGAAAAATCAGTATCTTTTGTGTTGAAACCAGTGTTATTTGGGGTTTCCTATGTGTGGCGAATCTAATTCTAAACTGACACACAGAGTAATACCGTCTACTTTATGTTTAGGAAGCTCATTCTGCTGAGAGAGCAGGGGATGAACTGGAGGGGCGACAGCGACAGAGGAAGGTGGTGAGAGGAAACTGGAAAATCCAAAAGCTGCCACAGCAAAGCAAATGCGACGCAGAGGACGCAGCACTGGAGAGAGGGGAGGTAGTATACGCGAACGGCTAAGAGCATGGACATTAGAGTCTGACTCCTTGGGTTCAAAGCCTGCTTCTACCAGCTGTGTAACCTCGACCCAATGAATCACCTGTTTTGAGCCTCATCATCAGTAAAAAGAAGAGACAATAGTGTCTATTTTCCAGGACAGCTGTCGGGTTACATGGATAATACACAGAAAGCCTTAGGGCGGTGCATGCAGTAAGTGTTTAATAAATGTTAGTTGCAGTTCTTGACTCTGGCTAAAACAAGCTTACAATCCTCTTCCTGAACATCACGGCCTTTCATGAGGCAGCTCCGTCTACTTCGCCAACATTTTCCTCTGCTCGTTGATACGTGTTCTAATTACATCGGTCTCCATAACGAGACACTGAAATGCTCATTCCTACGTCTGCGTCTTCACTCACATGGTTTCTTCGAGAATGTCCTTTTAAAATCCTTCTAACTAAATTTCACCCATCCTGCTCTAGTCCATTGTCCTCCATAAAGCCTTCTTTGGTCTGCAGCTCTTATGATTTTGCTTTCTCTACAACTCTGGTTGTCAGCGTGATCCAGCTCAGCACTCTTGAACTGGTTCCTAAACGTTTCATGTGCTTTTGTATGAAATTTGTCCTACAGGGAAATTTTAAGCTCTTTTTCATGTGTAATTTCTACAACAGAATGGCAGTCTAATAGCGGTACGCACAGTAGATGCTCAATAAAACCTTTATTAAGTGATCAATATAAATCCTTGTTTCGTTTTTATTTCCATAAAGATTTCAGTTCAGGATAGGTAACCCTTTTATGCCAAAAGACGTCATCAGCTAAATCTTGGTCAGTGTGCCTATGATGTACGATGAGTGGTAAATGCTACCTAGAAAGAAGTACAAAGGCAGACCAGGGAGGGGAGATACGTACCCAAACTCTGAGCAGGTTTGGAGAGGAGACCACCAACCATATACTCTCCAATAATTTCAGAGTAATGTTTTGTAGAATAAGGAAAAAACACTTTTTGAATACAAGGTCTTATATGTCAGGTACTAATCTAAACACTATATATACATCATCTTAACCTTCAAAATAATCTCATGAGGTAGTAATGTTATCTCTGTTTTGCAGAAGATAAAGCTTAGAAAGGTTAAATAAGTTTTCAAAGTTGTTAAATTATATGCTAAATTGCTTGTAACACATTTATTTACTAGTATGAAACCTGAATATATTCAAATAGGATGATTCAGGTTTCTACAGCACTGATCTCAAGAGTTGACTGTGCCAACATTTCTTCTTCAAAATACCAATCCAGCCGGGCACAGTGGCTCACGCCTGTAATCCTAGCACTACGGGAGGCCGAGGTAGGAGGGTCGCTTGAGCTCAGGAGTTCGAGACCAGCCTGAGCAAGAGCAAGACCCCGTCTCTACGAAAAATAGAAAAATTAGCTGGATGTTGTGCCACACGCCTGTAGACCCAGCTACTCAGGAGGCTGAGGCAGGAGGATCGCTTGAGCCCAGGAGTTTGAGGTTGCAGTGAGCTGTGATGACAACGCCACTAGCCAGGGCCACAGAGCGAGACTCTGACTCAAAAAAAAAAAAAAGAAAAAAAAATACCAATCTATTTGGTTTACCGTTGTTTCTGTAGAATAAGCAATCACTTTTTTCAAATAGAGCATCAACATAATGAATTTTACCACCAGGGGCAGCATATAAATAAATGCTGCAGGTTTTCTTTAAAAACAAACCTCTAAAAATTTGATAGAAGAATCAGTCACTCACATGTGTTTTTCCAGCCCAGCTCTGTGTTGCCACGGAGCTTACCGTTCACGAGAGTGATGAGAGGATTCCACTGCGCCCCAAGCTGAAGCCACGTCAATCCAGGCGCAGTCAGGTGTGGGACCAGCCAGCAAAACTACGTGGCTCATCCAAAGCTCCGTGCTCAGGGAGCTCTTATGACAATGGTCAAATCCTACCTCCTTTGCGGCTACCTGCCGCTGACAGCCCGTATGATGTACGGGAGCATCATAACCTTTCAGCTGGCAGGGAAGATGGTCACGCCCAGGTCAGAAAAGAGGTATTAGTATTCCACCAAATCCCGAAATCCTTTAGGTGATGGTGGGGGTTGGGGTGGGGGTCCCTTCGGGCACTCACGAGTCCGTGTGTCTTTGGAGGAAACTGTATCAGAGAGCCATCCCCTCCTTACCTTCACCGCTTCCAGCTCCTCCTTGCTGGCTGCTTGCTGCTTCTCCAGCCTGGTGCTTAACTGGGAACAGATCTAAGGGAAAGAGAGGTTTTTACTAGAAAACAGAACAACTCTTGCAGCATGTGCACATGACTACGTATCAACTCATATATTCCTCTAGCATTTCGGATCCTAGAAGGAATTTTGCGAATGAATAGCACCACCAATGCCAGTCATTTCCGACATGAGCAGCGGAGAGCCTGAGAGTTCCACGTGTAAAGCGCAGCTCTATCCTAATTAGTAGAAGCATACGTGGGGTAGATTTGGTTTCTTTCTGTCACTAGCCTTCCGTGACTGGTTCCAGTGAATTCCTGGCCTTGCTTTGGAATCAATCCATAAAACCTTTGCTGAGTATCTACTTTGTGCAAGGTACGATGCTGGAAATCTGATCAAAAGGATTCTGAACTGGAAACATCTGTCTACAGCCACAGAAAGAGTGTCTGTTTCCAATTGCAAAATTTTCCTTAAGAAATAACTGAGTGAATAAAACAAAGTTAAAATGACCAGAAAATAATAGACTAAAACTCTTATTAAGTGGTTTGGCAACACAGCATAGAAATTAAAAGTTTGGGTACTACAGTCAAATGTGAGTTTAATGCTAGTCCAACTGTATGTATTTCTTTATAGCTCTGTGGCCTGCAGCAAATTTATTAATCATTCTAAGACTCAGTTTCCTCAGTATTAAAAAGTACTGTACTGAAAAAAAATGCATGTAAAGGGTTTAGTATAGCACCTGGCCATAGTAAGTACTCATTAAATAAAATCCATTATTATTATGATGATTCTGAAATAAGATGCTACCAAGTAATAGAAACAGGTAGAAATAAGTGCTTTCAAAGGAAAAAAAAGTGTTTAAATAAATATTGGATGTTAAAATCCACTGACTGAAATAAGAATCTTTTATTTATATTTTAGAAAAATGAATGAAAATTAGGGGATGTCAATTTTTTAAGTACAATTTGGGCTAAAAACATATATGGTCTACCTCTATTAAAAACAGACATTTTAGAAAATGCTAGTCTACTCAAAAATAGCTCTGGAGACCAGGGCTTGCTTTTTGAGCATGGTTTCCAGTTTCTCCAGATCCAAACCTGGGGAACAGTTAGTGGGACTGGAGCGATGTAAAAAGGAAGTGATCAGGCCAGGCACCATGGCTCACACCTCTGGGAGGCCAAGGTGGGAGGATCACTTGAGCTCAGGAGTTTGAGACCAGTCTGAGCAAGAGCGAGGCCCTGTCTCTACTAAAAATAGAAAAAATTAGCCAGGTGTGGTGGTACACACCTGTAGTCCCAGCTACTCGGGAGGCTGAGGCAGGAGGATCACTTGAGCCCAGGAATTTGAGGTTGCAGTGAGCTATGATGACACCACTGCACTCTAGCTGGGGTGACAGAGCAAGACTGTCTCAAAAAAAAAAAAAAAAAAAAAGGGAAAGATCACCTTTTTTTGCAACCATAAACTCTTTTAAATAAACCAAAACATTCTGAAATATAGCCAACAATAGCCAATTCCAACTACAGAATATATTTAGATTATGTTTCACATCCAAATTATCTTCAAACAGATGGTGTGCTGCCTTTTACGTTGTTTGAAGTGCTTGCCAGATAATATTCAAGAAGAGTCCCAAGGATTACTGTCTGAAGAGTCCTGCACATGGTGGCCGTCCATGGCATGATGTGGCTGTGGAAAGAAATGCATTTGCGAGGACGGCAAGCTCCACTGCACGTGGTTTTCAAGGTTCCTGGTATTGGTTAATGTGTAAGCATCCCTTCTTCCAGTTACCCAAATTCAAAACCTCAGGATCAGCTTCAACGTTTTCCCTTGTTTAACAAAAAAAAATGACAATCTTTTTCTATTTTTTTTTCCTGAGTGGCTGGGGTTTACAGGTGCAAGCCTCTGCACCTGGCAAAAAATGACTATCTTTTTTGTCTCCTTCTTCTTCATTTTCATTATTACTTATTTAGTTCGGGCCCCTATTTCTTCTCACCTGGACTCTGGAACTAGCCTCTTAACCAGCCTATGTCCTTACCTGTGGATCTCTCCACTTGGTTCCACATTTCTCACTGGGACAGATTAGTGCCAGCAGTATTTCCCTGATGATGTCACTTTCCTGTTCAAAAAATCCTACTATAATCAAAATAAAACCCAAACTCCTCAGCCCAGCCCTGAAGACCTTCCTTGATCTGATCCCCAACATATGTTGGCTTCTCTTCTGTACCTGACTCTCTTACTACATAACATTTTTTTCTCTGTTCACTAATCTACCTCCATGCCTTTGCACGTGCTGTTCCCTCCTTCCACCACCCCCATCCTCTCCTTCTCAGTCTCCACGTAGCCAAGTCTCACCCAGCCTTTGACGCACAGAGCAAATCATTCCTTCTCCAGGAAGGGTTTCTCCATTTCCCACACGTAGTAAGTTCCCTTTGCTCTTATTTATATGTAGGGTATTATCTCCCCATTACAAGATAAGCTTCTGGGGGAAAGAACTGAATTAATTCATCTTTTTGTCTGCCAAAATATTAAGCCTTGCAGGTAGCAGGCATTAAGTAGACATATGCTGATTATCACAGAAGAGTAAGATAGCTCTGATGTCTTATTTCTATGCAATCTTTCAGAAATATCATGACTCCTCGTAGAAAGATGTTCATAATCTATTAAGTGAAGTAAAGCTAGTTCCAAAAAAATAGGATGAATAATACAATCATCCTATTTATATATATTATAAATTTATGTAGCACTGATTTATACAGCAACAATGCATACTCAACATATTATAATGATTATCTCTAGTTATCAAGATTAAAGGAGGGCTGTTTTCTTTGTGCTTTTCTGCTGTATTCTAATTTTCCACAAGGACATAAATTTCATTTAAAAGAAAGTAGTAAGTATCAGACTTCTAGGTCCTATGTGAGGTAGAAGACCCAGGGAAATTCTTGGGTCAGAAGATGGCATATGGTGTCTTATTAATTCTGGAAACCTGGAACTTGACAGTCCACTCAGGGTCTCTCAGCAATGGGAGGAGCCCTTGCCATGCCCAGCCAACACGTGGACAGGAAGATACACTGGAGCTGGAATGAGGGCTTTCTGAGACTACTCTGGTAATGGGGCCAGAAACATCCTCGAGGAGAGTGAGCTCTCTGCTAAAAGAGCATTTTAAGGTTCACCATAGAAAGCTTTCTGCTGGTGCTGGCCTGCAGTGGGTCAGGCCACACAGCCATGTGGGAAAGAGTGCCCACATTCTGTACTGTGACAGCAAAGGACACATCGATCCCTTGTTGCTGTTGGCATTTGGTATGATCACTAAACCTTGCACAGAGGCAAATGTTACTCGTGTGATCTATTGGAAATTAGCTTCTGAGTAAAACAGAGACAGGGTCTCAATGGCAATCGAAAGGTTTCCTATTCCTCTAAATCTAAACATCGTAAACACGCAACAGATTGTTTTGGCCAGTTCGACCCCCCAAGTTATCAGCAAGTATGCGAGTATGTCCAACCACTGTCCATTTCAAAGGACAGACTGAGCCACTAACCTTAATCTGGAAAATTGTTCTGAAAACTCTAGAAACAAAAATGTTTCTTCTCCTCAAAGAAAGACAACAACAAAAAATAGTCACTTTTATAGCAAAAATCCGTAACTAGCACTGTGTGCACAGCGGCACAGTACCTGTTTGTACTCAGCAATGATAGCTGTAGTCTTCTTTATTTCATATTCTGCCTTCTCGAGCTGTTTTCTGAACACTTCTTTTAGCTAGAAAGAGAATGAGAAACATCAGGATTCAGCCAAAATCTTAATAAATTTTCACAAACATCTATATTCAAGTCTCCCCAATTCATAGTCAATGACAATGGTAACAACTACAACTATATAAATTCTCTTCACTGAAATTACATCTTGGTAATTTGAAAAACCCAGTCATCTCCAGAGATGCGGAAATCCTACTTTCTTTCTGGTGAAGTATAAGATATGTGAGCAAATGTATCACAAAATCGCTTATGTTTGCTACTTCTAAACATATTGTTAAATAAGTGTCCATTTAGATGTTATCTTCATCCTTACAAGAGTCTAAAACAAAACGTCAAGGCAACACTGCATGCTAAATTTCTTGATGCTGTATTATAAATTACTAAAAAAGACGTTTTAGGCCTTCCTATTCATAGCCCCCTACTGCTACTGCGGGTCCCTCTCTGACGGCAGGAACAAGAGGCTTTGGGGACGGGAGTCAAAAAAGATGGAGGAGGAGGAGAGCTCCTGAGGAGGAGATTCAGGGTCACAGAAGGAGATTCAAAGTCACAGAAACAGTGACTTTAGAAGAAGCTGAAGTGACACACAACGCAAGTACTTGTTACCGTCCCTGAAAAGCTAAATTATCGACGTTATACTTAAAACCACAGTTATTTTTGTAGCCCAGCAGCTCTAGAATTCCAGGTACAGGGCAAGGGTAAGGTGATGAAGAAGCTCAGGTGCTACCAGATAAAAAGAAAAAAATTCGATTGTGCCTTCTGTTTGGGACAAATAAACAAACACATCACAACTCTGCTTAATCTTTAAGTATGTAATCAGAATAAAGAGATGCGTTTTGCACCATAGCATCCCAAATTACTGATGGAGTACACTCTGTTCTTGTTAATTTACAAATTACTGCAATTTATAATTAGACTCCTTAGCATTAGAAGATTTCTGAATTTCTTGGTATCTGCTAGATCCTAAAATTCTAAAAACAATTTGTAGGTTATACGGATTCGCACTTAATTGTTTACATTAATTTCTATTCTTGATCTGACAAGATTTAAGGACGTAAAAAATAACCTCCCTGCAATAAGGCCTCACTGACTTTAGGACAAACTTAGCTGAGAGGCTTTGAGCAAGTATCAGTAAATTTCTCTCAGCCTTAATTTCCTCATCTGAAAACGAAGAATAATCTCTATCTCACGAAGGTACTATAATGACTAAAACAGGTTAGAGAGAGACAGAGACAGACAGACAGGCGCACACACACACACACACACACAGACACACACACACACAGGGGGGTGGGGGGGTGGGGGGAGTGCAAAGCACCTTGCTTGGTCCCTGCCATATACTAGCTGAGTACTCAAATGTCACATTCCTTCCCATTTCAGGTATCAATTATCCAAGGGCTAGTATATGTTTATGGAACCCTGGGGCAGGTAGAACATGGGTTAAATTCATTCACCAAAAACTTTATTCCTCACCTAAAGTACAGAAGTGGCCCACAGAAGGCAGGAGGTAAAGAAAAAAAACAAAACCCATCAAGAGACCTAATAATCTACGAAGTGGGTAGTCAGGCCCTAAAATATTTTGAGTATGTAAAAAAAAAAAAAAAGGATGCCAAAAGACTCATTTCATTAGATTCCAATCAAATTTCATCAAATTCCAACTTAATCACGGAACACTTTTTATAAATCCTGGAAGGTGCTAAATAACACATTCCTCTACATGTAACTTTAGCGGAGCTTTTTTTCTGCTTGCTCGGATGTGGGTCTTTGAAACACTCTATGCTCTGTTTTATATTTAGTATTACTGATGTCTCAGAAAGAGACTCATTAAAATAAGCTAATCATGATTTAAGAAGCTGTCTCACTTTACAAGTTAGTTATATCAGTAAAATTCAGACAAGTTCTTGGCAGTGGACTTGGACTGTTTGAGAGGAAAATGGAACCGTAAGCTAACCTGTTTCTCCCCTGGCCAGGCCGACGGGAGGGGAGAACACGGGGAAGCAGCCTGCTCTTCCCTAGTGAAGATGGAGCCTCAGCTCCGTAGGCGGAGAGGCCCCTCTGCCCCCACCCTGCCCTCCTTCGCAATGGTGCGTCTCCTGCTCACTAGCCTCACGGCTCACGTGAAGAGTGTGGGGTGCTAATGTCCAGGCTGGTTCCCAAAGGGTTTCTCTATACTCCCCCAGGAAACAGGTTTGAGAGCCTGGCCGGGAACGCTGACGCTCCCTCAGGCACGAATCGGGCAAAGGAAGCGTGACTGAGGCGGAGGCTGGGAGGCAGCTCCCCGCAGAGCTCTCCGCAGGCTCTCGGTCTGACAGTGCTCATCCACTGCTTTGGAGAAGTCGATTGTCTGGGAGACACGGCATGAAATTTGCAGATTCGTCAAAGCTCTTGGATCATGATTTCAAGTTACTAAACTTAGAGAAAACTCAACACTCCTGCTAGACATCTCGGTAAAGGCAAATTCCTAAGAGCTGTTCAAGGGTAGAAGCACTGCTTCCTCTTCTTACACCCTCCAAAAGAAACGTCAAAAATGTCAGACAAAAATGTTGAGTAAGTAGACACGACAACTTATATTCCCTGCTTCGACATCACCCTTGATTTAAAATAAGCTTAATTTTACTTCTCTTTTATAGCATTAATCAACTCCCCCCCCCATGTACCTGTGTAGGAAAAAGCCCGCCTCCCCCCTGTACCTGGGCGGTCTCTTCCTCTTGCTTCCTCTTCTCTTCTTCAGTCTCCACCAGCCTCTGTTTGGTCAAAAGGAGCTCCTTGTTCAACACATCTGCCTTGTCTTCTGCCTGCAAATCAGCGTGCAGCGGGTCACACAGAAGGCGAAGAAATCGTGTCTACGCTTTCCTCAACCCAACCTCCAGTCATTCTTCCCCTCCTAGCTCGCCCGGGGTCGCGGCTCTCACTGACTGCCAGCCGCGTGCCAGGCCCTCGGCGCGCAGTTTCTAATCTCACAGCGACAGTGAGTTTACAGACAGTGGCAGTGGGGTTTGGAGGACCACGTACACTGTCTGGGGCCACACGTCTAATAGCAGAGTCACGGTGTGAATGCAAATTTGAATGACATCAGAGCCCAGCTCTTTCCGAACGCTTCTCCTCGTGTCTAGACGTCACGGCGGCCTTCGCCCTGTGCAGACGGGGCTGGTGACGACGGGAGCCTCGCAGGGGACCTGCTACTAGTGGCGCACGTGGGCGGCTCCCCGGACGACGGCTGGGTGAGAGATTCGAGGGCTCGCTGAGGCAAACTGGCCCACAGGCCACTCGCACGTCAATGAGTTTAGTAAGGAGAAATTACGCCCAAAACCCTGTTATAGAGAGAGCCATGAGGAACACTGAAATATGGACCAGGAATCTAGGTAGAAAAGACCACATTTCTGGAATGGCCTAGAAGAGCGCAGAGAGACAGCACTCCGGTTCTGACTCGGACACTGAGCCAAAGTTAACCGTGAAAGCACCGTGAGTACATTTCACTTAGCTGATGTCTGTTTCGCACGCCGAGGCTCCCACCTCACCCTCTCGGCCTGGCTCCAGGCCCGCGTCGCAGTGAGGCCCGCCGAGCCCCGCCCGCGCCGCCCGCGTTTCCCTCGGTAGCACTGCACGGACATCCCGTGTGCGTGACTCACTCGTCTTACTCCCTAGACTTCCAGCTCCAGCAGGGAGGAGCCGTATCTGTTCCGTTCCTCTCTAGATCCCAGCACCACGCCCCGTGCCAAGTACAGAGCAGGTGTTCCGCAAGCATTCGGTTAATGAACGGACGTGGCTAAGTCGCTGCAGAAGCAGACTGTGGCGTGGAGGTAGCAGAGGGCGATCAGCAGAGACAGCCCCGATGCAGAGGAGAGGCGCTTATTTGAAGACGCTACCCCTGGCTGACAGCAGCAAAACTTTATTCAAGTAATGGTGCAAACTGGCCAGGTGGCCTTCCGTCTGCCTTCCGCCATGTCTCCCACACGTCCACATGGTCAGACCAGCACAGTCTGCTGGCCGCTGCAGAGAAGCTGCATTCCGGCTGCTCTGTTCTCACCGTCTTCTAGCTCCTGATGGCCCACAGTCCAGTGGTTAGAGCCCTGTTTGCAGGTCATTTTGAACTACTGCATAGCCAAGGTGGAAAAGTCTCTTAAAAGTCCTTAAGACTCTAAAATTTGTCCTGATGCATAAGATTTTAGGGGAGAAAATCTACACAGCAAATGAACACACTAAAAGTAGAGGTGGGCCTCAAACATGCAACATATACAGTGCAAGTTAAGTTTTCATAAATTGTAAGATATCTGATGAATTAAATATATCACAGAGGCTCAAACCTTCCGATTGCAGAGCTGCAAGCCAGATGACTGACACTGCTGTCCACAAAGCAAGGAGGCCCTCCCCAGAGTCTCTGACAGATGGTCACAGAGGGCATTTCAAGAGCAGCTGGACTGATCATTTCAAGGTTCTGAAAAATCTAACCAAATCTATCTCCCTATAACTGTAGCCCACTGGTTTAAGTTCTACCCCAGAACGTCTGACCCTGCTAATAAAGACGACTACAACTAAACCTCCTCCTACAGTAACCCCAGCAATTTCCACTTTGTGAAGAGAATAATCTTGTCATAATATATACCATGACACTCTGAAATAAATATTTTTAAAGTTTGGTCTCTTGAAAAGAGAGTTATCTAAAATGTTTGCCATTTGTAAACTTTTCAATAGTCAGTGCTATACTGACATTCAGTAACAAGCTTCTTGAGTCCTACAGCGTATCTAGCTGTTTTATAGTTTTGAAAACCTCTCTGTAAGAAAAGGGGAAAAAAAACACTTCCCTGAGGAATTATTATTATTATTATTATTTTTTGACACAGAGTCTCTGTCTCCTGGGCTAGAGTGCCATGGCGTCAACCTAGCTCACAGCAACCTCAAACTTCTGGACTCAAGGGTTCCGCCTGCCTCAGCTTCCTGAGTGGCTGGGACTATATGCACACGCCACCATGCCCGGCTAATTTTTCTATTTTTAGTAGAGATGGGGTCTTGCTCTTGCTCAGGCTGGTCTCAAACTCCTGAGCTCAAGTGATCTTCCTGCCTCGGCCTCCCAGAGTGCTAGGATGACAGGCGTGAGCCACCGTGCCTAGCCACCCTGAGGAAATTTTTTAAAACACCTAAATATTTATGCTGAGAAGATCTATTTTTTTATTTATACATTTTCTGCTGAACAGTCTTCATTAGGTCAAGATAAGGAAACTTCACTCATTTCTATTGTTATCATATCCAACATGGGCAGCAGTTCTTGTGGGTCCCATCTGGAAGACACTAGTTTTCCCAGAAGCTTCATCCAAAGTTTCTCCTGCATGTTAAATCGTGAAGTAGGAGCAATTCTTCTTTTCATCAAAATGGGACCAGATCTGAAATAACTTGGGTCTCCCTCTAAAAACGGTTTTCTGGATCTTTGTATAGCCAAGCACACTATACTTCACTTAAGTAGAAATTATTTGAATGTTAAGTGAGCATAACGCTATACAGGCAGATACTCAAACTCTATCTCTGAACCCATCACCATATATCTTTGAAACCTTCGCCCTAACATGACAAGAAGACTGCGTGGAACACTGTCATTATTAAATCTTCTAATCACTAGCCAACATCCTATAATGTCCTATTGATAATGAAAGTTCTAACTGCAACCTAAGCCTCCATAAACCTATACTGAGAGAAATAAGCATTGCAATGTGTGATTTAATCATGAATCAACTGATAACTGGGTCAAAAGACTTGGCTGGAACATCGGGGATGAGGATCTTTCAGAAATGATTGCTGAAAAACTAGCCAAGGCTGTTGTTCAATTGAAAACAAAACAAAACAATTTGCCATTTATAACACGTAGCTTCTGGCCTAACAGAACTTGCCGTATTTAGAGGGAACCCCGACCTGTGATCTTCAGTGGGAAAGTACTAACTGCATCTCTTCCTTTGTGCTCCTCGAGAACAGGGAAGGACGGGAAGGGCCTGGAAGCAGGTGGCAAGAGAAGTAAAATGGAGTTGTATCTTTTTTCACTTCTAATCCCTGAGAAGTCTTCATGTAAGGAGCCTGCGGGAGCGAGTTCTCAGGAGAGAAAGCTCCGCCACGGAGAAAACCTGAAGAGCCTCTGGAGCCCAGGAAGCCTGAAGCCTGCGCTAAAATGACAATGCCAAGGAATGATTTTTAAAAGTACCTAATTAGCGTTTGTCTACTTACGCATCATCTCAAGTAAAATCTGCTTTCATGTTTGTTTCAAATTTTGCTATTTTAATTAAGATCTGATTTTGATAACTGGGAATGGAAAAGTAGCGGGCAAACTGGCAAAGGCAGGCAAAGCCCACACTTCCGCTCCCAGGCTCACGCCTCTCCCCGAGGACCTGGGGACGACAGGCAGGACACCTCGACCGCAGGGGCAGCTCTCTGACAGGCAGATAAACCCCCCTGAAGCAGAAACTGCAGAGTCAGACGTTAGGAGGAGACATGCATGAAATGGCAGTTTTTATTCTTGCGTCTAGATAACAAGCTCCGAAAGGCAGAGTCCACGTCTTTCTTACTTTTTTTTTTTTTTTTAAAGAGAAGGAAAGAGAGGTATAGAAGGAGGAAAGAAGGGAGAGAGAATGAAGGAATGACGGAATCTTCTTCAGGGACTGATCTAGTACCCACATGAAGTACCCAGGTACTCGATAATCGATTATTGCAGAAGTTCCCACAATAGCAGTTATTACAGACTGATTCACAAAAAGGATTCTCTTGGTTGTGAAATGATTCTTAAAATAATATTTTTTCTGATAATTAATGTTATGCATATTATTTAATATATTCATATATGTAATATGCATATTATATCTTTCTTCTTATTGAAAGTTATAATGCTCATTTTAAGGCCTTTCTATAAATTGGAAAAAATACATACAAAGATGAATATAAAAATTAGATTTAATCTTACCATCCAGAGATTCCCAGTAGTGACATTCTGATATATTTCCTGTGGGCTTTTCCCTTATCTAGGTATATTCTGGACCCTTTCCCTATGGGTGACCCATAGCCAGCCAATAGCCCTTGCAATTTAGATGCCAACATTATAAATGTTTACTGTTTACCGATAAATTTATAGTTTTTAAAGAATACTGTATTGTCTTCCCATTGTTTTAAAAAATTATTTCAAAAAGATATTTTATAGACATACCATCATTCTCCCCTACTAGTGGACAGAACATTATTTCTATTTTTTATTCTTATAAGGAACACTGTAGTAAACAACTTTGTATACGTATTTTTTTTTTTTTTTTTTTTACCAAATCTCTATTTTTTTAGGATAGCTTTCCAAGTCAAGAGCACATAGAGGGAGAGTGGGACATCCAGATTCCGCCCAGGAAATTTCGTACCATTAGCAACCAAAGAGAGAATTAAATATGGGTGATGCTGAGAAAGGCAAGAAGATTTTTGTTCAGAAGGGTGGCCAGGGCCACAGCTTGGAAAAGGGAGACGAGCATGAGACCCGGCCAAGTCTCCACGCCCTCTGCGGGCGGAAGACAGGTCAGGCTGCTGGATTCCCTTAGACAGACGCCAATAAGGACAAAGGCATCGCCTGGGGAAAGGATACACACAGGGAGTATTTGGAGAATCCCAAGAATTACAACCCTGGAACAAAAATGATCTTCGCTGGCATAAAGAAAAAGGCAGGAAGGGCAGACTTGATAGCTTATCTCAAAAAAGCTACTAATGAATAATGATTGGCCACTGCCTTATTTATTACAAAACAGAAATGTGTCATGGCTTTTTCATGTGTACCATAATCTAACTGATCTCAAACACCAGAATTCAGATTGTGAGTGAGTGACAGAATATTTTTGTTGGACAGTCCTGATTTATAATAACTAAGACTGGCTTGTACTTAAATGAATATGATCAGGTTTTTGAATTTTGACAGTAACTCTAATTCAGTAAATGCTATCACTACTTTATTTTCCCCCTCTAAAGATATGATTGGACTTCATTAGCAATGTTCAACTTTTCGCAAAGATGGTAAATTGCCATCTCAAAACCTACTGAAGACTGGCTTTATATTCAGGTTTATGTAACTGGTTTTGTAAATACATTTGAATACTAGGGAAATCCCTTCGCTAACTCAGCACCAAGCAGCACTCACTGGTGTTTTAATTTGTGTTCACCAGCCTGTCAAAGGTGAAGGCTGGAGGTAAGGTCGGAATGCCTACTTTATATTTTTGGTCTTAACTGTGCCAATCTAATTGCCTGTATCTATTAATACTAAAATGCTGCCTTTTATTTACTGCAAGGCATTTTAGTGTGGTTTGTATGTAATAACAAATAAAGAATATTTAACACTTCTCACAAAAAAGAGTATATATGTGTCAGTTTCCTCATTATAAAATGAGGGATTTTTTTTTTTTTTTGAGACAGAACCTCACTCTGTTGCCCGGACTCGAGTGCCGTGGAGTCAGCCTAACTCACAGCAACCTCACACTCCTGGGCTCAAGCGATCCTTCTGCCTCAGCCTCCCGAGTAGCTGGGACTACAGGCATGTGCCACCATGCCCGGCTAATTTTTTCTCTATATTTTTAGTTGTCCAGCCAATTTCTTTCTAATTTTAGTAGAGACGGGGTCTCGCTCTTGCTCAGGCTGGTCTCGAACTCCTGAGCTCAAACAATCCGCCCGCCTCGGCCTCCCAGAGAGCTAGGATTACAGGCGTGAGCCACCGCGCCCGGCCTAAAATGAGGGATTTTTTTTTTTTTAAAGAATACCTGCTTCCTGGAGTCATTATGGCGATTAAAAGAGATAATGCTTATAAACTGCTATCTTTAGTGCTTGGCTCATAGCAGATACCCAGTAAAAATTTAATTTTATTATTTGCTTAAGCCTCTTAAAGGTTTAATATACAAGGGCTGTCCAGAAATATCCAGCCACGTAATATGAAAAATGATGAAAATTATGGCGCGATACTTTCCGGGCAGCCCTTGTACACCAGAACTACATTTCCCAGACAACTTTAAAACTCCCCTTAGCTCATTTCACAGCATCCCCACTGAGCCCAACTGTTTAAAAATGTTTTCATTTAGTTAGCAGCTCAAGAAAACTATTAATGGGTAAAAGATTCAAAATGGCAGGATTAAGCGCGAGTTTCGGAAAGCCGATACGCAAGCAAGACTTTCCTTGTAGTGCTGACTCACCACGGGAGCTGCATTAATACAAAAATGCGGCAGGTGTGGTCAGGCCGAGTTTGGCCCTGATTGAGTGGGGGTCCCTCTATCTTCTTTGGTTCTGACTCTCTTAGTCACGTATGTCTCACACCACTTCTAACAACTTCCAAGTGGGCTGGCTAAGTGGAGTTTGTGGTTAAAAGAGCCACCATTTAAAAAAAACAGAAACAAAATCATTCATTTTCTGGGCAGCTTTTTCTACCTTCTATATCCTTTGTCCCAAGCAACACAGTTTGGGTTTTTCTCCAAACTCGATTTAGTGCTGACTCCTCTGTTTCCTCCTCTCCCTGTTGCTAATATTTTCCTAAACAATGGTCTTATCTTACAACTTACTGTGGTTAAAATTTTGAGCTGCAAAATTAGCTGATTATATGAGAAAAGGAGTGTGGCAGGCACCATTTTCTGCCATCCTTCAATTTTAAACAGTTAAGCAGATTTCTATTATTAATGGATTTGTATTTTAAGGATTGTCAATGCATCGTTACATCCCAGGCAGTGACTCTTTTTTACAGGCTCGACAGCCCGAGTCTAAATTTTTCTGACCCTGTACCATCTGTCAGGAATATTTACTCTTTCGAAGTCAGAAAATAGAGCGGCAATTTTAAATCTGCACAGAACTGCTTGTATACTGCCAGTTATCTCTGAAAATGCCAGCAACAGAAAACAGGAGGTCCTAGGACTGTCAGCACTGGTGGAGAAAACAAGGAAAGTCAAACAATTTGAGGTCTTCTAGTAACAGCTAACATTTATTGAACACATACTATTGAAGTGCTTTACTTTATTTAATCCTTACATCATCCCTCTGAGGCAGGCACATTTTTCATCCTATAGACAGGTTAAGAACTGCCCGGAGTCACGTGGTTCACAAGCGGTGGTGCCAGGATTCACACCTAGGCAGTCCGGCTCTTAGCCACTGTGATGCCTGCCAGTCCCACCATCCAACTCTTAAGGTAAGTACCTCATATAAAACTTCATGTTTGTTACAGACGAGAATTCTTACCGGAACAAAAAGTAAGGTGCCTACTAATGTCAGAGTGCAGTCAGTACTGGTCTACTCTTGGTGACTGATGTTCTCAAGTAACTATGCTGGCAGCCCTTGCTCTAGGCAAAGTACTGATAAAGTGAGTCACGCATGCTATGTGAGGATGACCCGAACCTCTCTCAAAAGTCTGCATTTCCCACTCTCTCCAATCAGCCTAAGCCATCCCCTCCCACCTGCCACCCGCCCATGTATCAATCAAGCAGCTCACTCAAGTCAAGATCAAAGCAAGCCGGGGGGACCGTGGTGGGAGCACTTGGTCCCTGCCCTTGAGGAAGTCTGTCCCAGGCTCATGGCCACCTAGTGAAAGGCAGGTTTACCTGATCCAGGTCGTTCCGTAGAGCAATTTTGCTGGTCACTAGTTCGTGGGCGAGGTCATCATTCTCTTGTTCCAGCCTCATGCTGGCCTCCTGTAATCTTCGGTTCTCCCTCTGCAGAGAAAGAGCAACAGCCAGAGCGGGGCGTTAATGCCTGGACAAACTGGCAGAAACAGACGGAACTGGTGAGGAAAAACAAGCAACAACAAAGTGAACTTTCAAAGGCATAAAAAGGAGAAGGCGCAAGTGGCACAGGAAGGCAGGATTGCTGTCTGGGAAACAACAGTGAGTTCGGCTAGCGGTGCGGGTGCAGTACTCTACCCAGTGAAACGCAGTGTCCCTCAAAGCTCCAGACGGAACGTCAGCATAAAAACTACGACACAAAGAGCAAAATTTTCAAACGTGCCCCCAATCCTGTTAGGTTTTCATATAGACCTACAACACAGACTTGAGCAGTTCTTTGTCTGAAACATGCACAGCAGTCCCACCCTTGACCCCAAGAGAAATGACAAGACGCAGTAGGAGTGAAATGGGGAAGAACCATTAGACATTTCAAGATCAGGGTTCAAATTAATGGAGTATATTTAAGAGCACTAAATTAAGAATCAAGATACATGGGTTTGTCACTTTGCTATCAACTAACGTTTTTATTCTTTGAGTAAAGAACACATTTACCTTCCTGAACACCTAATTTTGTTTTAGTGAGAGCAATAGTCCTTATGATAAGGTCTCTAAATGTTTGTTTTGGTTTTTTAAAACCTCAGATTAGAAGGTTCTGAGTAAAGTAAATTACTGAGCTATTTTGTTCCCCCTTGAACTCCCTGGAAAAAATCTGAAACCATGTTACATAATGAAAGAACCAAGTCATTAATCCTTATGAAGCAAGATCTCCCCTTAACTAGCCATGATGAAGCTGGTATGTTCACATCTATTTTTCGAATAACAATTTTGTGTCTTCCATTCCCAAATATCAACAGTGCTTTCTTCGCTACTGTTAGCAGTTACAGGAGATTCAAAAGAGAGCTGAGAGGAAAGGCTTCAATGTGATGAGACCTTCCTGTTTTTCAGATTTACACTCCTAACAGTCTTTTCTGCAAGGGTGGCAAAAACTCAGACAGCAGTGATACAAAACCAGAAGACAAATACATGTTTTGGGAGATAGTGTATCACAGCATACTTGGGAAGGTGAGGTTAATTTTTTATCTTCTATAGAAAAAGTTGGTGTTATACACAAAGAAGAGATACCTAACAACAGAGGAAATGCTTATATTACCTTGTAGGAAAAAAAAAAATAACTGGAAAATCCCATTTTTGTAACAATATAAATAACAGATATTAACTGTGGTTAGTAGATTATTTTTACTGTCGTCCTTATCCTTTTAAAAATGTTTTCAGGTTTTCTACAATGAATATATATTTATAATAGGATTTTTAAAATAGTTTTTTTTAAAGTAATTTGAAATTTCAATTCCGCTGGAAGGATAAATGCCACAATAAGAAAATGTTTAAAGTCCACTCCTGTTAGAAGGTCATATTCTACACGAAACCATACGTCTTTTCCTTTGTGACCGAGACATAATATAACCCCGAGCGCTGCCTTGCCAGGAACCCTTTCCCCAGATATTCCTGAAAAGACAGTGTTCCTACTTGTAGGGGCAACTTGTACTCATCAAATTCCGTCTGTTCCCTCAATCACAGAAGCTCTACCCTCCCACAGAAGTGCAATAAATGTGGAGGCTAAAAATATATTTTTAAAAAGCATGGGCACTTCTACAGTTGAAATAACACAATTTCTAGCACACGCTAGAGAGGTAGTCTTTATTTCTGATACAACTATTATTACTCCCTTTTGTGGAAACAACTTAAATACTTGTAGAAAACTTAGATTTTAGAAAAATGTTTGAGAAACTTTTTCAATAAATTTCCTCCTAGCCAGGAAAGAGCAACAATACCCGGCAGAATTTCAACACATGTTTCACAACACAGATTGCTTAGGCAGGGAAGAGATTTTTCTCATTTCTTGATAAATCCCTTCAAGAGACTAAGACTACTTCACTACCTATTCCTGAGTTAAGTATCCTGTTTCTACTCAAACTGTACTTGTAGAACTCCAAAGTACAAAAAGCTCCCTCAACTATTATTTACATTACATTAATTTGGCACAAGTGAAAAAGTTGCAGTTACCAGTTTTTCAGGTTATACTTATATGCTTAGAATTGCCTTAAAAAACAAAACAAAAAAACCTCCAGGTAAAGTCATAGGATGTTTGTGGAAAAGTACTTTGTTCAAGTACTTAAAAAATACCAGGTAGCTACTTCACTATTGATTAGCGATAAAAGTCTGATGGATCATACATTATATAAGAAAGAAGCTGAGCTCAGCTGAAATTCTGACTGGTAACTTCTCATTACAATGTAGCGACCTGAACCCTCCTTACAGACACACAGCTAAAGGGGCAGGGCCAGGGGCAAGCTGGGGAAAGATCTGGGAGAAACTGAGTGTCTGAGGGTCCCTACAAAGCAAAGTAGCCTAGAGGGCGCACCTACGGGCTTTTGCTTTAGCAAGCGGCTTTCAATTCAGTGTCTGCGAAGCAAGCAGCACGGTGGGGAGTGTCAGACGCCTGCTCTGCACTCACAGACAAGTGGGAAAGCAAGCTCGGGGCCAAAAATGCAGTATCGTCCTCCAAAGTATGAACCTGGCGTGGCGGCAGGGTGTCCTCACGAGGTCTCCAGTGCCACTGAGTGCCACACTGAGACACTGCTACTGAGATGGAGATTTTCCACGAAGACAAACTTGCCCACAGTTACACTGAGGGTTAAACAGATTACATTACATTGACTGTCTTTTCCAGCCCTTCCCAAGGAGCCAAAACTATTTTCAGTCCTGACCAGTCAAGAAGAAGTTTGCCTTTATACTAGAAGAGAGTTTAGTTGTTGACAGACTTGGGAAAGGCAGTAACCTTGCTTGATTCATTTTGAAATGGTGACAAGGGCTGCCCGCGGGAGGCTGACTTAAAGGCAGCTCCGATAACTTCAGACAGCCCGGAGATACTCACATGCTGTAAGTTTGTACGAGCAGATGTGCTGAACACTCAGAGCCTGTGAGCAAGACGGGCAAATTGCTTCCCTCTTGCCTTTCAGAGAAGATCACAGGAGACGCTGCTTACATAACCCTTAAAACTCACGTTGCACTGTCTGAAACACACTCCATCTCACACGACTGACACCACCTGAACGAAAAGCAGACAACTGTCCTCATTGGTTCCCTCCCCTCTTGCACAGAGGACGTGCAGCTGGGAAAGTTCGGTTAGTAACTTTTGGGAGGAGGATACTGCATTTTTCAAAGAGACAGACGCCGGTGTTACAGACACACACAGATGAAAAACTTACCTCCTCAAAAGTCATAGACCAACTACCGTTTTCAATCATAGGTACAAAGACAATTGAAAAAAAAAAAGAATATCCAATGAAATTGAACACCTACTAATACATCTATGAAATGGCAATAACAAAAACAGACACTTGTTAATGCTCTCTGCCTTTTCCTTAGAGTGTCACACACTCTAAGTTCTCTCTGTGACTGCAAACGTTCAGGAGGAGAAAGTAACTCAGGAAGACTCATGCACGAAAACTCCTCCCTCTCCACACTGCTATTTGCAGTTTGCATGAATGATGAAAATGCTGCATGTGGAACTATTAGCCACCACAGTGTGAGCTGTTGATACTATGTTATTAAAGCTGGGTGGAAGAGCTTCCTGATAAGACAACGTCAGAAATCTCGCAAAATAGTTCATCTTCAGACAAAAGAATGAAATTGCTGGGCAGGGGAATGCGGAAGAAAAACTGATCCCAGGTCTCATTTGTATCTGGGGGCTGAAGTCTGGGTGAAGCAGTTCGAGGGATGGTGAACGTCATTTATTCCAAGATGACAAACCAGACAAATGTGAGCTGGCAACCAAAATACAAACTAAGCTTTAAAGGAAAAAATGATGGAGAGGGAGGTGGCTTTCTAAATCCTAGCTCAATATTTTGGGTGTGTTTTCTGCTGCTATGATGAATTCCTGGCACATGTTTTTAAAGACATTTAAGAGTCAGGAGAAAATGTTTTTCTAAAACATTTTCCAGTGCAATTTGATTAGTAACAACACACTCAGCTCTCACATACTTTCTTTTAGATACCTCTTCTAAAAGAGTTGATACTCATCACATTCAAATTTTCAGCTGACAAGTTTTTGATATACAAAGACAAATGCCTACAGATGAAATGTTTAAATGTCTATATTGTCCATAAATGAAGACTTCAGAAAGAAAATCTGGATATTTGAAACTGTTTTATACTTCTCTTCTTTACCCTTCACATCCAATCTTATCTTTCTGGTGGAAATTTAAAAAATTTTAAATGTCAGACTAAAAACAAAATCTTGTCAGTAATAAATGACAGTTGGCAAACCAGACTGAATTTCTTTTAGCATTTAAAAAACAATCTTAGATTATAGTGTAGCACAGGGGTCAGCAAACTTTTAATGTAAACAGCCAGACAGTAAATATATTAGGCCTCATGGTCTGTGTTGAAATTTCTCAACTATGCCAGTGTCATGCAAAAGCAGCCACATATGGTAAGTAATCAATGGCTGTGTTCCAATAAAACTTTATTTACAAAACCTGGCAGTGAGCCAGATTTGGCCCACAGGCCACAGTTCGCAGATCCCTATTCTACTCTAGCACACAAATCAAATTTTTAAAACAGCAAATGGGTGGGGTACAGTGGCTCACGTCTGTAATTTTAGCACTCAGGGAGGCCAAGGCAGGAGGATTGCTTGAGCTCAGGAGTTCAAGATCGGCCTAAGCAAGAGCAAGACCCCATCTCTACTAAAAGTAGAAAAATTAGCTAGCTGTTGTGGTGCGTGCCTATAGTCCCAGCTACTTAGGAGGCTGAGGCAGGAGGAGTACTTGAGACCAGAAATGTGAAGTTGTAGTGAGCTATGATGATGCCACTGCACTTTAGTCCGGGCCACAGAGTGAGACTGTCTCAAAAAAAAAAAAAAAAAAAGCAAATGGGTATTAATGTCATATAATTTTCTCAGTAATACTTTCTGAGAAAGAAAACTTTCTAAA